TGAACATAAATGAATTGTTACATACATTGGTGGTTTAACAAAAGCCTTCATTAGAGAAAGGTGAAGGAACATACAGTGAACATACAGATTAATGTTTACACACGTAGATAATGTGAGCTGAGGTGTTGAACAGCAGACACGTAGTGTAGTAACTCCCTCACAGATGGTGTTATGAGGGGCATCACCTGATGTAGTAATTCCCTCACAGATGGTGTTATGAGGGGCCTGATGTGGTGGAGTAATTCCCTCACAAGTGGTGTTATGAGGTGCTTTGTGATGTAGTAATTCCCTCACAGGTGGTGTTATGAGGGGCTTGGTGATGTAGTAATTCCCTCACAGATGGTGATATGAGGGGGCCTGATGTGGTGGAGTAATTCCCTCACAGGTGGTGTTATGAGGGGCATCACGAGGTGTAATAGTTCCCTCACAGGTGGTGTTATGAGGTGCTTGACGTGGTGTAGTAATTCTCACAGGTGGTGAGGGGCTTGACGTGGTGTAGTAATTCCCTCACAGGTGGTGTTATGAGGTGCTTGGTGATGTAGTAATTCCTCACAGGTGGTGTCATGAGGGCATGAGGTGTAATAGTTCCTCACAGGTGGTGTTATGAGGTGCTTGACGTGGTGTAGTAATTCCCTCACAGGTGGTGTTATGAGGGGCTTGACGTGGTGTAGTAATTCCCTCAGAGGTGGTGTTATGAGGTGCCCCTCACAGATGGTAATTCCCTCACAGTTATGAGGGGCCTGATGTGGTGGAGTAATTCCCTCACAGGTGGTGTTATGAGGGGCCTGATGTGGTGGAGTAATTCTCTCACAGGTGGTGTTATGAGGGGCTTGACGTGGTGTAGTAATTCCCTCACAGGTGGTGTTATGAGGTGCTTGGTGATGTAGTAATTCCCTCACAGATGGTGTTATGAGGGGCATCACGAGGTGTAATAGTTCCTCACAGGTGTTGCTTAGGGTGCTTGACGTGGTGTAATGTGAATTCCCTCACAGGTGGTGTTATGAGGTGCTTGACGTGGTGTAGTAATTCCCTCACAGGTGGTGTTATGAGGGGCTTGACGTGGTGTAGTAATTCCCTCACAGATGGTGTTATGAGGGGCTTGACGTGGTGTAGTAATTCCCTCACAGGTGGTGTTATGAGGGGCATCACGAGGTGTAAGAGTTCCCTCAAAGATGGTGTTATGAGGTGCTTGACGTGGTGTAATAATTCCCTCACAGATGGTGTTTAGATTATCCTTTTCATTTTTGTCCAAAGAGTTTTGTCCAGTATGCTTATGTCAAGTAGAATTTTGTCCAATTAAAATTTGTTCAGTAGAATTCTATCCTTGGACGATATCTCTCCAGCGTGCTTTGCTATAATAATAATAATAATAATAATAATAATAATAATAATAATAATAATAATAATAATAATAATAATAATAATAATAATAATTGATGACGAAAGAACGCAAGAGAGAGAGAGAGAGAGAGAGTGCCGATAAATCAATAGAAAGATTGTGACATAAAGATAAAGATAGATTGAAGGAGGACGATAGATAATTAGTGATAACACGATAGATGAATAGACAGATAGATTGATTGATAGATAGTCACAAAAAGCCCTGAACATATTGGGGTATTTCCTCTTCTTGTCTCGTGACTGAAATAAATTAATTTTCTTCAAACTGTGTTGCGTCTTCCCCTGAAATGACGTCACTCATCTGGGTACTTCCGGCGCCACCAATGAGAACTCTCTCAGAACCGTGACGTCACAACGGTAGAACCACGAAATCTGACATCACCACTGTAGAACCCGGAGCTCAGGAGTCTGACGTCACGGCCGTAGAATCCAGAACCGTGACGTCACACCGATGGACTCTGGAATCCTGTAATGAATATGACGTCACACTCGTAAACAAGACCTCCTAATGCAAGGAAAAATTTATTATTATTATTATTATTATTATTATTATTATTATTATTATTATTATTATTATTACTATTATTATTATTATTATTATTAGTAGTAGTAGTAGTAGTAGTAGTAGCAGTAGTAGTAGTAGTAGTACTAGTTTTGGTGGTGGTGTTATAATTATGGAACAATCATAATTTAATTTATTTACTCTGTCTATCTGCCTGTCGCTGCCTTTCTTTCCTGTTTCTCAGCTCCTGTATTCTGTAACATCTTTTGAATTGAGAAAGATGTTTGAAAGAGAGAGAAAGATGTTTGAAAGAGAGAGAGAGAGAGAGAGAGAGAGAGAGAGAGAGAGAGACTACATAAAGGAGCTCAAGCAGATGACCTCTAGGAAAATAATATACCACGAACACCCCTCCACCCCCTCCGTCACCCCTCCACCCCTCCGTCACCCCTCCACCCCCTCCGTCACTCCATCCACCCCCTCCGTCACCACCCTCCTTCCTCCCCGTCCCCATTACCCGTCACCACAACCCTGTCACCACCACACTGTCACCATTACCCATCGCCACTACACCGTCATTAGCCAGGTACGGTCATCTTGCCTCATGACAGCTGGAGAAAGCGAGTGCGTTGCTGAACCGGATATCCAAGTGTCCGTGCTTTGAATTTTTTACCTTGTAGCTGGTGCGAATACTGTATCTACCAGACTCACTTAACTTACGACACAATAACGGATTCACAAACGTTATCATTGTGATGTAAGAACGTATATATCTGATTCACTTACGCCCTGTATTCTCTAAACGTTATATGAGAACTTATCTAAATGTATCGCTTTATTTACAACACAAAAACAGATAAAAAAAAATAAATCGTCGAATTTACAATAGAAATGTCTATATAAATCCGTGTTTGTTACGCAAATCTATGGGACTCCAGATTCATGGTGAGTCGGGTATACATTTCTTAGAGCGTGATGACAACGTTGTGGTCTTTAAGTGTGTTTACATTATTGGTGTCGCGGCGTGGCGGGAAAATAACACCCCACGGGACCACATCATCAACACTGGTGGTTATTATGGTCCCTGGGCGAGGTGTGTAACCGTATTTTCCAATCAGTGTTTGACTTTGTGTCTTAGAGTTACCATAAGTCGCCAGTTGGTACATGGAGGTGAGGAAGTGACGTGAGTCAGGAATGTTTAGAAATAAATATTTTTTTCACAAATATTAATAGTTTTTGTAGATAAGGAAAATGTAGTATTTACTTGTGTATTATTCATATTCAGTATTCATTAATTACTATTGAAATATTACGTTTTTTTTTCCACAAATCTTGCTATTCTATTTCTATTCATATTGTTCACTCTCATCTAGATTCTTTGTTTTCCAATCCGAATACCCTGTACAATTTATACTCTGTTGAGACTGTAGCCAATAATACCGGCACTAATTTAACATATACAGTTACTATCACACCAAGAGAGTATATTGTTGATACAGGTAAAGGTGTTACCCTGTGTGTGTGTGAGAGAGAGTTTGTGAGTTGGTGCCACTGAATGTAAGGAGTTTGCCCTGACAATTTTCCGAACTTGTGGCGTCTTCAACCTTGAACTGTGACCCTTAGTGAGGCCCGACATCCGCCAGCTACAGGTATGAACATTCGACTGAGCGGTTGTTCTCTGAGATGTTTATAACTTCATTTAGGTCACCCCTTGCCCGTCTATAGTGTAAGCTAGACAGATGCAGGCGTTTCAGTCTCTGGGGAACCGAGGTGCCGTAGTGCAGGCACCAATCTGGTGGCCCTCCTCTGGACATTTTCAGTCACCTGGGAAGATATTGGAAGCATAATGTGTTGTCTAATGGTAGACTCTACTGCCATATGGCATCACAAAAATTGTGACCAAGTCCCAGGTTGCTGCTCTGACTTTTTGCCTCATTTACACACAATTGCAGTCTCAATTATTTTTTATTTTGGCAACACAACATACATATATCATTTTGCACTCTTGTTATATTTTTTATTTTTTTTTAAATTTATTTATGGTTCTTTATCATTATTATTATTACTACATTTTCGCCCCAGGCCCCGATGTGGATCAGTGACTTGTGCCAAAGTAGTCTTAATACCTATAAAAAAAAAAAGTCTCTAGCATATCTCGGGGACCAGACAGTACTCCAGACCGGGAAGCACCTCACCCTTGAAGATTGTTACGACCTTCTTACAAGACCTACAAGTTTAGTTGCTTGGTTCACCTCATAATGACCCAAAAACTTCAGTTCATTATCAACATACACACCCAGGTCCTTTTCATAGACGGCGTCTATTAATGCAGTTTCTTAGTCCAGATGGGACATGTGATACGCCACCTTACTGTTGGTACGACCCAAGTGCATCCTCTTATACTTCGTGGCATTTAATTCTTACAGCCATTTCTTCGACCACTCTTGAAGCTGACGGAGATCTTTCTGTAGTTCTTCACAGTCCATTTGGTTCTTAATTTCCCTGAATAATTTGGTATCGTCCTCAAATACTGTGTTTGTATGGATGAATGTATAGCTTCTGGCATGTCATTTATGAAACAAACATCCAGCACCTTTAGTAATTGTATTAAGCAGGAGCGTCCCGGCATAAAACCATGAAGGGAGTCCTTTACCAGGTTGTTTCGTAATGGATGTTTCACCATGGCCACCCTTATAATGCTGTATCAAGCCTGGTGTCAACGCGCCTCAATACAAGGCACTCCAGCACTGATGAGAAAGTAACCCGAGAGTGAACCCTCAACAGGAGTGTACTGCAGGTGGTGGTTGGTGAGAAAGGAAGAGGCGGAGGACTAAAAGATTGTTTAATTAGGGAGAGCAAGGATGAAAGAGTGACAAGAAGAGTTGGATGCCATAATTGCTAAACCTTATTGAAAACTTCAGTAATGTCGAATGCAGCAGAGGCTTAGTATACAGTGTGTTGTATCCACATTGTATCTGATAACTTGTCAGGATTTCAAGCAGCCTTAAAATATCACTCGCTTGTTTTGTCAGCAGGAGTGAACCGTTACGTCATCAGTCAGGGTTCGTAGTGGATAACACAAAGATATTAAAAGATAAGACTTTGTTACCGTTTATTTACTGTTAAATAAAATAATATAAAACATTAGTCACACTTAACTCTAAGATAAATAAGAAGACAATGAAACTTTTTTGTCCTTTTCATATACAGTACAAGAAGCTTTCATTGGTAGGAGAACAGCATTCAGTAAATGTGGTCGGGTCTATCTGATATAACAGGTGACCAGAGTTGAAGAAATCCGCCTGTTGTGGTTGATGACACAAGCAACCACATTACGTCAGGTGTGATAGAATCTGTCATCACAAGGAAAGATTTCGTGGTGGTGGTGCCTCAGAGGGTACAAATATAAGGGTTAAATGGGAAGGACACAACAGACCTAACCCTGAAGATGCAGTTTCCCTAAATGTCCCTTGGGGTATTTAATTTTCTAAGGGTTAAAACAGGGAGATGCGGTAAACTAGACCCTGGACCTTAGGTTTCCTCTAGGGTGCAGGAAAATACAGCAAAACTGACCCTTAATATCCATCGAGGCGTTTACTTCTTCAGTTAAAGTAGGAAGAGTCGGATGAACTTGACCCCGAAGACGCTGGGGCGTTTGGTCTCTCTGGGAATAGATTTCAGTCACCAAACAAGAAAGTTCGCTTCCTGTGTTCAAACTGAGTCACGGGAATGAGTCTCCGAACTGACTTACCCTGACTGTTTCATCTCTGGGGTCGATGCTGCTTCATTTTGGGCGGGGATAACTTTTGACCCCGACTGTAGTACCAGGCCTTGTCCTGAATGACTCTTGGGGCACAATGTTCTAAAGACAAAGGGACCAATTGACCATGAGCCCTGAACGACCCTTGGAACGTAGAGACTGTCAGGAGTTAGTTAGTTTACAAAGATGCAGCAGACTTGGCCCTGAGAACACTGGCCCTGGGCGTCCCTGGGGGCTCGTCCGCATAACTTGGTTTCCACACACTCCCCTCCTCGCTCCTTGCACCTCACTATGTTGTCTGGCACTGTGGGTGGAAGAGAAAGCTAAGCTCATATATATGTGTGTGTGAGAGAGAGAGAGAGAGAGAGAGAGAGAAAACAACAGTTATTTCACCCAGGCAATTGCAACATAACAAGTAACGTCATGATAGGTGAGTGTAAGATAAGGCACTCCCTAACCTAACCTAACCTAACCTAACCTAACCAGATTTATCCTTGTCTAACCTAACGTACCATAACCTAGCCTTACCCCTTTTAACCTAATCAGACTAAAACTTACCTATTTTAACTAAAGCTAATTAAATCCATGAAGACTAACCTATTCCAATTAAATCTACCCTATCCTAACTCCATTAAACCTAACCTAACCTAACCTAACCTAACCTAGAACAATCTAACGAAACTTAAGCAAAATAATCCTAACCTAACCAAACTTAATATATCCAATCCGATGTTAAATTAACAGGGCCTTACTAAATCAAACCTAACTTAGCTTAATTTAATCTAATCAGAACCAAACCTAAACTAGCGTAATTAAACTTAATAATGGTAATAACACTTGAGTAAACCTTATTAACTTTAGTAAACTTCAAATGATGAGATTTTGTCCAGTGGAAGACAAACTGGTAGAATTTTTGTCCAGTGGAAGACAAAATGGTCGAATTTTTGTCCAGTGGAAGACAAAATGGTCGAATTTTTGTCCAGTGGAAGACAAACTGGTAGAATTTTTGTCCAGTGGAAGACAAAATGGTCGAATTTTTGTCCAGTGGAAGACAAACTGGTAGAATTTTTGTCCAGTGGAAGACAAACTGGTAGAATTTTTGTCCAGTGGAAGACAAACTGGTAGAATTTTGTCCGATTGCAAATTGTCCAGTGGAAATCTTTTTGGTATGCTTTTGACCATTACTAAGTACAATTGACAATCATTTAGTCCAATAAGAAATAATTAGGGGGAAATAACACCTTTGGAATTATGTCCTAATAACAACAAAAGTTCCATGCAATTATGTCCGCTGATTATTCTGTCCAGCACACAGTTGGACACTTACCGGTAAAACAACATTCAGCCCCCAAGTCTTTCTGGGCTGGACATAAGCCTTCTTCAGGGTGACGGAAATCTGGGGGACACGCTGAAGCCAGTCCACACAGACCGCCCTCCTTAGCACACGGTAACTCTGGCACGAACTATGGGAAGACACGGTATATATTTAAGAGAGAGAGAGAGAGAGAGAGAGAGAGAGAGAGAGAGAGAGATAATTGGAGATATAAAAGATAATTAGGTACGTGGGGAAATGGAGAGAGATATTGGATATAGGAAGGGAATTAGTGGATAATTAAAAAGAAAGGGAGAGAGATAAAGGGCAAGAGGAGAGATATAGAGAATATGATTGAGTGTAATAGAGAAATTGACTGAGAAAATAAAGAGAACAGGTAAATAGGCTTGGATGGAACAGGTAGAGGGGACTGGGTGAATAATCATGCAGTAAGAACAGGTAGTGGGGCTTGGGTGGACAGTCATGCAGAAAGAACAGGTAGTGGGGCTTAATTGGACAGTCGCGCAGACAAGAGGTAGTAGGTAAAACGTGAATGGGACTTGAGAGAAGAGAAGAGAAAAATGGTATTGATTGTTAATATGTTTATTTGTGTGGATGTTAATAAATTGAGGTTTTATGGAAGAACATGACAAACAAAAGGTTTAAAATATACAATAAACAGAGATGATAAGTTACATAAGGAGAAGAATCCCGGAGTGAACACACAAGTTAACAATGGGTCAGGAAGTATTATCAGTGGATATAAGGGAGCTGGTATTGTAAACTGCTGGTTACAACACGCACAGATTTCACATACATCGTCTGGTCCTGGTAAGTCTACCCAGCTCACACACAGGGTGTTGGTGAGAGTTCTTGTTTCTCACCTGGTGTTAGTGGGGGTCTTAACTATGGACCTGGACCCGGATTCACTAACACGACAGTTATGGTGACAGCAATTTTGTCCATATATCCAAAAGATATGGAACTCGTACGAACTTGGTCATGGATTATTCAATAAAAGTTCATACAGCTACCGCAAGTTACGTTTAGTTCAGTAACTTGACGCCAGAGAGCGTTGGTGTATTTGTGTTGATTCCTCAGTAGACCAATCACCGTGTCCGGAATAAAACACTCTGGAGGAATATTAACCAATCACAAGTTACCCAGCTGATGAAACCTAAACAAAGTCACACGTGAGAAGATACGGAGGGTCAAGGTGCAAAGAAAAAGCGGTTTAGTTTCTCCGATGATGAGGTTTTCGTGATAGTAACTGAGGTTGCTAAAAGGAAAGGCGTGATCTTAGGAATACTTGAATCAACTCTCACGACACAGACGGAAAAAATCACAGTTTGAGGTGTCATCACTTGTCGCCTTGAATGCAGTCACCCACGACTTGAGATGCAGTAGTGCGATTTTTTTTTTTGCCTCAGGCCATTTGCAAGAAATATAGAATATAAAAAAAGACATGTAAACCTAATAATATTTGTAATGTGATGTGTACATGTGTGTGTACATGTCTGTGTGTAGAACATTTCTCCAGTTAATTCTCACAGTTAACTAAAGTCGCCGAAGCCGTAACTTTCTCAACCCAAACACTCAAACCAGCATGAGTGTGTGTGGATTAAACAACATTCTGTTTTAAGTTCCAAACAATTACTTTACCATCAGCCATCAATGTGCGTCTTGGTGTTTAAACAGTGTTCACGATGTCACCTTGAGAAAGAAGATGGAAATATATAAGACTATTGTGTATACACAGGTCCCTTTGTTGTCTTGTAGTGTTGAGACATTGAATTGAATCACTGTAGTTCCTCGTCTAAGCAACAGATGGAGTTAATTATAATATAAGGAATCAAGTTATTATTTTAATTTGTTATGCGATAATACTGAACTAATGTCTTTCAGTTATTATTTTAGTAAGTAATAAACACAATCATATCAATATTTCCAGCCAGTAATTCCCTCAGATGGTCGGCAACATCAACAGCCCTAAAACGCATTACCCAGAAAAACTTACTAATATCCGACAGCGTTTATTTATGAGAAGCTGTTAACGAAAAAGACTCACTCAGAAAAACATTGTTAGTCAGCCTAGGAAGTCAATAAGTTACTAATATATCTACGACTACCGAGAAAAACGGAGTCATTTCTCGGGATAACTATTATTTCTTGTGATTTTTGTCAGAGTTGATCCACTTTTAACCGGATGATCTACCATCCCTGGGTGGGTAATTTATCTCGCTACCAGTCTCTTGTTATGAGGCTGACGTGGGTTAGACAATGGGAAAAACCCCAGCGACCCTGAACCAATGCAATGAACAACTCACTGTCAGCGGCGTCACCATGCCATATACCGCCACCACCTTACACCAGAACCTCCTCCTAGCTGTACGTGTAAATAACAACGTGACATTTAGTTATATAAGACAAATTGTTACTTTTTCGAGCCTGGTGTCACTTCTAGCTGACTTTGCAAACAGTTAACGTCATAAATTCCTGTGAAAAAACAAACAAAGATGTATCCGTGTTATTGTAACCTTAGGAACATGTTTGTATTGTACACTAATAGGTGCAGTTATGTATTTAATATTGTTGTCTGAAGTGTGTTAATTATGTATGTATGAATGTATGTATGTATGTATGTAAGGATACCAATATGCTTTAGGCACGCCGCAAAGTTATATCACTGCGCTTCAACAAGTAATTACTAGTCATCAACAATTAAAACTAAGAAAGATACGTGACGCCCTGACTTACCATAATAGGCTCAGTATGGTCGTCATTTCCTTCATCTGTAAATAAAACACATTCTTAGTACATAAGACTATATTATAACATTATGCTGATGATTCTATTTCATTCATTTATATACTTCCATGATTATAGTTACGTTTTTATACAATAACCTACTTTGCCTTTACAGTACAATACTTTTTCGTTGTATGATAATTTTTGTTACACATAGAGAATCTTTTATAACCTTCTAAGTACTAATGTTTATTTCAGGGAGTTTAAAGTGATGTGTGATGTGTGATACTTACAGACGTGCGGGACAGCGGCACTAGCCACCGCCCATGTCACCACCATTACACTTAACTGGTATTTCATGTTGTTTCTAGGAATAAAAATAGAAATACAAATAGTAATAATATCTTTAATCTGCTTTGAGGCACTAGTTGAACAATAAGTAAAGAGAACAAGATACAAATATATGTGTTAACTAATCATTAATTGTTCTTTAAAATATGTCATAATATTCTCGAAAACAAACAGAACATTTTATAATTTTCCTTAATAAAAAGCAAGAACACTATGACACAGATGTAGCAGAAACTAGGGGAAAATTTATGGTAAGAAACTATTTGTATGGAAGGAAAGTTTAATATGTAAAGCTTTAAAGAAAACACGACTTTCTTCACCAAGTGCGTCACAAGCGTTCGTGCGTTTCAAAATGCTGCATCAACCAAGATAATCTCCAACATCCAGATTCCCAAAGCCTCGTAAGTTGAAGTTTTGGGACGCGTTTAAACAGTAAGAGTTGAGGCGCTTTTACGTGGTGAGAGTTAAGGTGCGTTTACGTGGTGAGAGTTAAGGTGCGTTTACGCGGTGAGAGTTAAGGTGCGTTTACGCGGTGAGAGTTAAGGTGCGTTTACGCGGTGAGAGTTAAGGTGCGTGAGAGTTAAGGTGCCTTTACGCGGTGAGAGTTAAGGTGCGTTTACGCGGTGAGAGTTAAGGTGCCTTTACGCGGTGAGAGTTAAGGTGCGTTTACGCTGTGAGAGTTAAGGTGCGTTTATGTGGTGAGAGTTAAGGTGCGTTTACGCTGTGAGAGTTAAGGTGCGTTTACGTGGTGAGAGTTAAGGTGCCTTTACGCTGTGAGAGTTAAGGTGCGTTTACGCGGTGAGAGTTAAGGTGCGTTTACGCGGTGAGAGTTCATGTGCGTTAGTAACTCATTATTCCCAGGACGAACACCAACGTATAGTACTCCCAAACACTTGCCTACTCTCACTGGTTAGTTGGCTCTAAGATACCCTCCAGACAGGTCCTTGCTGACGTTGTATGCAAAATAAACAGCAAAGAAACATGGGTGCGGAAGGAGAGAGCTAGATGCTTCGTATGCTCCCTTGACTGGAAGATCCTGGCATATACTTAAATCTTTCAACTTTAGGTCAGTCACTGTTTGAGGTACTTTTAATATATCAATTCATTATGATCTAAAAGAAGGGTTAACTTAAATAAACTTATCCGTGTCCGCGTAGAGTGAAGTTACACCCAGTCTTCAAATTGGGATACCATTAATACGGTTAATAGCCGTATTAGTATCCGTAACATATCCGAATTCGGGAAATCCCAGCCTAGATAATTGTAAAAATCTGTAACTTGGGTTTTTCCTCACCGAAATGTAGCAATGTTTACTTTTTTCAAGCAAGACGATCTGATAAAATCTCTCCTACCCAAGCGAAAATTACCATGGGATCGTTATGTTATGAGTAGTCTTGCTTGCAATAAAAAATGAAATGAAATAGAAAAGAAAATGATTTAGCAGTCGTTTGCGTTCGTGAAGTTTTCTCAACACGGAATATGATGATGCTTCAGTGTTGAAATGTGGCTCGCTGCATCGCTTTTTGTTTACATGTTGACGTGTTCAAAGACACGTGTGACATCATCAAACACTGGCCAATGAAGCAGTTGCATAATTTAACAATGAAAAATATAAAATTTTAGAAGAAGGGTGACTGCTTAATGTAGTACAAAATTTTGTTAAGTGATGAATGTTTGAATGTTGTCTTTTTTTATTAACTACTGTACACCCAAGGGCGGTATCCGATGACCTGCGGCTAATCACAACGTAAAGAAATACGAGAATTATTATTTATTTAGAGCAGATTTTTCCCAAATGGTGGCAAAGTTAAGGATACAATTTAAAGGGGGGTTACCAAGAGAACCTCATCTAGCACAAGGTAAAAGAGAACCTCATCTAGCACAAGGTAAAAGAGAACCTCATCGAGCACAAGGTAAAAGAGAACCTCATCGAGCACAAGGTAATTAAGACTTAGTGGACGATGCTTAAATACTTTCGATGTCGAGGTATCTAAATATAGTTATTTTGTGTTTCAAGAAAAAGTAAAAGTAAAAAATATATTCGTGGAAGGCTCGTACAATTTAATTTTCCTCGTAAATGGCATATTTACTTAACCAGCAATAATTCTTACCTTATGAAGAAAAAAAACAGCTCTTGTTATATGTGAGTAACGTGCACTCCCTCTACCTTAGCGATACCAAGCGATCACTGCTGGAAACTCACTGCTCTCTCACCATAATAAATGCTGTGGGCTTGGTGTAGGTGCCAGATGTCGCTAGAATCATTCACACACAAGAAAAATTTTGACAGTGGTGACAATTTTAACACTACAACTAGGTTTGTCACATCCCTTGAGTCAGAGAAACAAACTGATACCAGGTGTTATTGTTGAGAAAAAGAGAATAAGATGATCTGTTTACAATTAAGCGTGATTGTCAACGTGAAGCGAAAATCCTTTGTGAAAAGTTACCCTGAACAGTGACCAGTGACCAAGGCCGTGTGGTATACGTATGGTTGGATACATGTTGTGTTGGCTGGCTTCCAGTTGTATGGTTAACCTACCTCACACTCTCTCTCTCTCTCTCTCTCTCTCTCTCTCTCTCTCTCTCTCTCTCTCTCTCTCTGTGTGTGTGTGTGTGTGTGTGTGTGTGTGTGTGTGTGTGTGTGTGTGTGTGTGTGTGTGAGTGAGTGTGTGTTTTAAACTCCCATCATCATTAACTTTTCTGTCAGCTAAATGAACATCCCCCTAACTAAAGTAGAAGCCCGGTGTAATTGTGATATTTGATGTAAATCCTGTACGTTAGCTTTATAAATCAGGCAAAAAAAGACTTGAATAGTATGAGGTGTGGTTAATTTTAAATATCGGAACGCTATCATTTTGGCAGCTGAAGTTAGGTGTAAGTTTTGTGATTTCCAATACCGTAACGATATCCTCTGGCACCCGAAATCGTAAATCTCACGATATCGGAGCAATGTGGAGATAAGGTTCAAATACCGATATCTCACAACGTATGATATCGGAGCAGTGTAGCGATAAGACCAACATTATATTTAACTATTGTAAAGCATTGTATTATTTTTTAACTTAACTAACATACATTTCCTTTCATTGTATATAAAGTACTGTATCACTACATCACCGACCTTGTCTGTGAAAGTCGTGTGGTGCAGTGGAACGTAGCGTCGATTTATTGTACTGTAGGTAGAAAAAAAAAAAGATCACCTTGACTTAGTTCTTCACCTCGGAGGAAAAAAAAAACATTTCAGTCTTTAAATATATCTACTTCTTTTGGTAAATAGATATAATAGTTAGGTGTAAGGATACGACCACTAGACCCGAGACAGCACACGCTCGGCTGCAGGGTTAAAGCTGTCAACAGTATAATTATTGTGTTCGTGTTACATATATGGGGCTGTTTTTGTCATGAAGGTGTTATAGTCATCATCATAATTATCGCCAGCAGTTTTCGTTATTATTATCATTTATTATCATTAGTTTTATTGCTGAGTTTATTTACTCTTTCTTATTCATAATTACACTCCCAGACTTGGCCTTGGTGACAAAAATGTATATAAAAACAGTCGGCCAAATATATATCAACTGTTGCTAGCGAGTTAACGTGATAACTTTCATTAGTATAATTTAACATCACAGCTTAATAATCATTATTATACACATATAACTTATTATTATCATTATTATTATTATTATTATTATTATTATTATTATTATTATTATTATTATTATTATTATTATTATTTTATCACTACGCTTTGATAATTAACGTCTTAAATTTGCGTATTCTTAAAAAGTAAATATAGATGTCATCAACCATAATTGTGTAATGAATCAACTGGGTTATTTTTCTTGTGGGTGTTGACCAACTAGCGTCACATAGTAGCGTGACTCACAAACAGTACAGGGTGGTGCGTGAAGCAAGCAAGGTCTGTGTGGAAACATGATATGGTACACCTCCCGAACTGAACAGTACGCGTTGTAATTTACATTGACCGAATTATTCTGTCGAAACTCAATTACCAGAGAATTATAACTTTGAATTACCTAAAGATTTGGTGTCCAGTTTATTTCTACCTGAATGCTAACCTAACCTAACCAAACGTGTTCGAGTATGGAAGTTCCCGCGACCCTTGAGATCATGAATATACAGTATGTACAATACCTTCCTTTCCTCTTCCTCCTCCTACTTCTTCGTTCCTCCTTTCCCTTCCCTCTCCCACTTTGGTATGTAATTTGACAGGTCTCTCTCTCTCTCTCTCTCTCTCTCTCTCTCTTAGCAACAACTCCACACGACGAGACAACGACCATTATTAACGTTGATTGTGTAGTTCTGGATTCAGTGGAGTGTGCAGTGGTGTAGGAGGGGAGGGTGTGAAGGTTATATGGGGGGGGTAGAGGTTAGGGGTGAAAAGGTGGAGGGAGGGTGAGAGGGAAAGGAGAGGAAGTGGGAAGGGTAGTAAAGGGAGAGGAAGTGGGAAGGGTAGTAAAGGGAGAGGGCGTGAGAGGGGGAAGATGTAGAAGAAGGAGGGGGAGGGATAGGATGGGAGGAAAGGGGATGGAGGGGGGAGGGGATAAGGTAAGAGGGATGGAGATAGAGGAGGGAGGGAGTCATCCATATGTTCTTATAGTCATGTGATTCTATTTATCTACCTACCTATCTTTTTATCAACCTACCTATCTATTAATCTACCTTTTTATTTATTTACTTTATATTTGTTCAGAAGGCGTAGAAAGGAGTAAAAGTATATCCAATTTATTACCGCAATATATATATATATATATATATATATATATATATATATATATATATATATATATATATATATATATATATATATATATATATCATAATCTATTTCACGTCTTCTTATCTGATTATGTTTCATTTTCTCTTAAATAAAAAATAAAAGTAATATTTACACCTACAATATATATATATATATATATATATATACACACAGTATATATATATATATATATATATTTTTTTTTTCTGGACGTCACAAGGAAAAAATATCTGTACAATGCAGACCCTTGCTGGCTGTCCGACCTTGATCGCGAGTGACAATAAGAGAAAATTAATTGACACACTCACCAAACACACACATACACACACACACACACAGCCCTGAATTTTTTGTAAAGATCAAGAGTTACAAAATAGTGTATTGTATTGTACTTTCTTTCACTTAACCTCGTCCTGTTTCTCCCATTTAAATATTACAAGATATTTTAAGCATTAGCCCCTCCCCCTTCCCTCCTCTCACGGTTCCAGGAATAATAAAGATCCTGACAACTGTTGTAAACATACTGACGTGGAGTTTCCTGTAAGAATTAAGAGAGAGAGAAAGGGAGAGAGACAGACAAATGTATTAGCGGTCAGTAAACATTACGTAAGTTGACCTGTGTAGAAATAGTCTCTAAATTGAAACTGACTTTGTATTAAATCGTAAAAGGAAAGGTCAATTAGGTACACTGGCGTCTCACTTTACTGGGCCAAAGTGTGTGAGGAAGGAGGGTTATAAGATACAGAGGGTCCAGACAAAAGCCCCCCCCGGACAAAATCCCCCTAGGTTTAAGTGCAAAATAGGAAGAATGCAAAACAATATATTCTATATATTTGTTCTGGGTACAAATAATAATGACGACATAAAGTAAATATATAAGGTTATATAAATCTTATGTCATCATTATTAAGTGTCACTAAATAGGGGTATATTTATATATATCTTCATCCTCTCACCTCATTCTTTGGTACACGACTTTCTTTACATGGAAGGCCTAGTAGACTTGTCGTCGCATCCAGCCACCACCTCATGGAGTACTTTCCCCAGTACAGCATAGTAGTGTGGTGGTAGTGAAGGAAAAGCGACTAAGAGAAGTATTCCTCCCTTGTTTCCATCACCACAGTTATGTAATGTCCACCAGTCGATCATTAACGGGAAGGATCGCACCATCAGCCTATGAGTGAGCTGTACATTTGTTTTCCCTGAGCTTGTGGGGCATGACCAGCCAACCAACCGGAAGGTCATTGAAAGTATCATAAAGACTCATTAGGCTCTTGAATCAACAGCCCCTGTTTAAGGATTCTCGTGGTGAGGCTCCAAGATAACGAGTCACATAAGTCACAAAGGAATATCAACAGTGTGTCAAGAACCTGTGTCTGGACTGTGTGAATGGGAGGAAGACCTTGGAGGAGCTTCTGAAAGTGTAGGTCACAGCTTCAAGTGGCAGTAAAATGAACTATAAATGAACCTGAGGACTTAATGAACTCTAGAATATTATGCTTTTTTAGTCTGATTTTCCTAGATACAGTATGAGGATCCTTTTATAATGCTAATTTTTATGGTTGTGTAAATAATGCTGTGCCTGTAAAATAGTGAGTTATAAATGTGTGCTACTGTATAATCCTTAAAATGTTGACTTTGACTAGATACGGCAGCAGTATCCTTTTCTAATGTAATTTTTATAGTCGAACAAATATTTCCTTTTGCCCTACACTCAAGGTATTGTGCAGTACGTGCAATATACCGAAGCACGTAAGCAGGTGGTGGTATAGTGTTATTATTATCTTAGCAGAAAACGCCAGAATATAAATCCAACAAGCAGCAGACACACGCAACCTACAGTTGAGTTAACGGGTGGGTCCCAAGCACAAAGTAAACAGGCGCGGTTGTCTGCGCCAACGTGACGTCAGAGAGGTGTGGAGTCGGGTGCCTAACGTTGAACAGTGACTAAGGACTTTAAATCACTTGAATGCTTCATTGCTGATTGAGTGCAGGAAATCACCAGGGAGATGTGAAATATACACTCTGAGAATCCCGGTTGACGGAAGAGAGACGAGTGCCGAGGGTTGGAAATGCTCGGGTATGTTAGAATCTGGTCGAAGAATCGGTTATATATTTTCGCAGTTTCCATTTTCCTCCTACTCTCACTCCTGAACATACTTCTTCACGGTCTGGGTTAAAAATTTGAAATAGTAAATAGTTTATATTACTTATGAAGATTTTGTTCTGAGCTAAAACATTTTGTTTTTGTTTTTGTGTGTAAGAGTGATTGAATATTAACATTAACTTTGAAACCTGTGGACGTGACAATGAATACTTATTTTCTAGTGATTTCTATCGAAATTTGTCCTCCCAACACATTGTAGCCTTAAATACGTCAGCTTCTGCATTATGTGAGGCTCTCCCTCTAGCTGCAGGTAACACGCACACACACCACAAGGTGCTGGCTTTAAACCTTAAAGTTTTATTTATAAATAATAAATATTTTTTGACATGTGATAATTTATGTATTCTTTATAATAGACAAGAAATACACGTCGTTGTATCTTATGTGTATATATATATATATATATATATATATATATATATATATATATATATATATATATATATATATATATATATATATATATATATATATATATATATATATATATATATATATATATATATATATATATATATATATATATATATATATATATATATATATATATATATATATATATTAGTAGATTTTAAAGAACTTATCAACCAATCACAGTACCTCTAGAGTCAAATTCATGGCCCTAGGCCAAATGTGCCCCTTGGGATTGTCAGGTGTGGCCCCGCGGGATGACGGTAAAATTTATCATCCTGTGAAATTATGATAGAAATAGATAATAATCATGTTTATTTAGTAAAATCAATTTTACGTACTTAAGATCAGACAAATACAAATGAGGTATTCCTGGTAAGCCAGGTAAGGCAATGTGTGAAACTGTAAACTTCAATCCTGCAAATATGTGATATAGCACTTGCGTTAGCCCTGAAGAGGGTAACTAAAATAAGAATTGGCCCTGGAAAGGTTATGAGTTTGACACCACTGCTCTAGACACTCACCAAGCAGTGACGCTACCCACAGCCCTTTCCTACCAAACTCCAATAGTACCGAACCTTTAATTGTACTCCCCAACCATTAATCCTGCATGATTATTATTACTATTATTATTATTGTTAATTATTATTATTATCAACACGTATTCATTATCAATTACAACTAGTCATAATATAAGTAAAAATATATATATTATCTGACGGAAAGAAACTAAATCAATGTCCTATTTAAAGCACAAATTAATATTTTCTTTATATATTTTTCGAAAGATATAACCCCACCATCTCTATTGAAGCACTGGACTACAAAGTCCTCAACAGTAAACTCATAAGGATGGGTGTTGTCATGACCGCCATTTTGGATGACATCACCATTGTGCAGCTCAACAACCAATCACAGTTACCCTCCAACTGTGACGTCATATAGCTAGTTTTCTGCGCAACAACCTTTATTATGAATCGCTGTTGACTACTTGGTTCAGTAGACGTTACGCAGGAAGGGGGGGGTTGGAACTTGTTGCTCTTCCCCCCCTCATTTCTCTCCCTCCCCCTTCCTTCCCTTTTCTTTCTCTTTTTTCGTTTTTAATCTCAAAACAAAACATGAAACTATACACTTTCATCCTCCCCAACCTTTCCCCAATCCTTCCCAAATAAAAAATAGGACTGCTCATGCCCAGGATTCCCCAACACTCAATAAATAGTCTTCCCCAACTCTCAATAGTCTTCCTCAACTCTCAATCGTCTTCCCCAACTCTCATTGGGGAAGGCTACTGTAGATACATGAACCCGATAATAAGTAAGTCTCCCTTTAATTTAGTTTCACACCATTGTGATTCCTCATAAACATCATCTCCCTGTACCCCACTTGCAAGTTGCTTGAGAAAGGTTCGTAAATGAGTCATATCATTCCTCCAGGTCGATTATCCTGTTCTTGTACAACAGTTCTACAACACCTGCTATATCATGTTGATGTACCTCCTGTAGTGTTTCAAACTCCTCTCTCTTGTCAAGGAACGTGTCAGTATTAATGTTTAATTTTAGTTTATTCTGTGTACATGAATTTTAAGGCGGAATTTGTTCTTGGTAACGTCTCTGCTCTTGGTAGTGACTCCGCCCCCCTCCATTCTCAGCAGCTGCAGCATTTACTAAATACATTGTATTTTGTGGGTGTGGTTAGAAATGTCATTGTTTACCTGGCGCTCGCCTTCCCCGGCTCTGTGCTGGCGCTCTTGCTTCCACTACTCTCCCTCTAGATATAACCCGTGTACAGTTGTCAGCAAAAGTCCTCTGTGGGAGAACTTTTGCTGGCAACTGTACACCCGTCCCCGTTCACATTCTGTCTATTAATTGCTGATCATATAGTTTTCAAAAGTAACCCGATTATACGTGAT